AACTAATAAGGATGAATTCATACTTATAAAATGATATACTAAGTATCAATAGAGTTACTTAAATTATAGGAATTGTATTACTTTAAGTTAGTAAATGAACTACTCATTTTTGTTAAATTATTATTACTTAATTCAGATAATATGCTTTCCATTTACTAAATTTTATGAATTATTACAAGTAAATGTAATTCTGAAATTAATTAAAATCTAGAATATTATTACTTAAAAGAATACTAAGTAAATGAAATACTTATGACATTATTTACTAGAAACACTACTTTAATTGGGCCCTCTGAATAGTAGAAGAAATCTACTTATGATGGAAACAATTATACTTTCCATTTCTTTTGCCAATTTCTTTGTAACTGTTTTATTATATATAACAATAAAACATTTCCAACTTCGAAAGCCTTAAAAATTGAATAAGTTGTAACATTTTAAAAATGGTTAAACATTTCAAGTACTTAATATATTTTTATTAGTGTGACTTTTTTTTCACATGAAGGTATATTTAGATGAAAGATAACTCCTCCTCACAGACATTTAGTGATAAGACTACCATATTTAAGTAATTACTGATCTGAATTCCCCTTGATTTAGTAAATAAATTTTTGTTTTAAGTAAATCAATTAAATACAATTCAAACATGCAAGATGTGTTTGTGAAACACCTATGCCACTGTATGGCAACATAGCAAAGGTTAAACTTTTCTTAAATGCAAATTTAATTATTGGGATTTCTTTATTTTATTGGTATCTAATGAAAGGTCTTGCTACAAAAAAAATACATATGTGAAATATGGAAACACTTTCAGAAGTTATGGTCAAGGTTACCAATTTTGAAATGTAGGTCAAACTCCAAGGTCAAGGACAAAGGGACAGAGTTGGTGGTACCCAAAGAAAGGTCTTGTCACAAGGATGAACTATGTTAAGTATGAATGCACTAACCCTAATCCTTTTAAAGTTACAGTCAAGGTTTGCTTTTTAAAAGTGGGTCAAACTACAAGGTCAAGGTCAAAGTTCTTGGTATCCTATAAATGGTCTTCTTAAAATAACATATATTAAGTATGATTTAAAAAGTTATTTTCCCAAGGATATCAATCAAAATTTCATAGTTGTTGGTATTCAATGAACTTTTTTTCAACAAAAAATATATATGTGAAGTATAAATGTCCTGGTGTTAAAAAGATTTGGATAAAGAATAAGTTTGAATTTTTTGTGTATAAGGTCTTGTCACAAGGAATACACGTGTGAAATATGAAAGTTATAGCTCCGCTAAATCAAAATATGGGCAAGGTTAAAGTTTCTGCGGATAAACAGAGAATCAGAGAGACAGCTAGAGAGACAGACGGAAACGACAAAAACTATATACCCCCGAAACTTCGTTTACGGGGGCATTAAAATATTAATTATATAGTAAATAGTGGTTTAAAGACCAAGTAAAGTTATTACTTATATACACAAATTTAAGTAAATATAAATTACTAAGTAAAACTTTTTAGTGTGTAAGTAAAACAATTTTTTAAAATACAAAAATCAAGTAAAACATTTGAATCTAGTAATTGACATATATTTCAGTAATTGATTTTAAATTTTAAGTAAATGCTTAGTAATTATCTATTACTAATCTTTGTTATTTACTAAGTAAAACTTTTTTAAGAGTGTAGATTTCTTTGATATACTTTAACTGTAGTTAAAAGGGGGCAACCAGTATTTCAATAAACATTTTCAATAGTAACAGTAATGTTGAGAAAAAAGTCCCCCCTTGCTTTTTGCCTGAGTAGTATTAAAGTTTCGCATTTGGTATTTTGCGCAGGTGTAACATGATATTGTGTGGAATTCTTTTTATTGTTTTGAACTTTTTTTGTTTAAAAATGCAGAATCGAATGTATATCTAATAATCATTTTGATTGATTTAGATTACATGTATATCACATGTTTGTTTTAGTGATTTCATTTTGGCACAACATGATTTCCGCACTTCTTTATCCGTAGTCGATAACAGCTGTAGAAGTTCACCCAACCGAAAATGTCTACTAGCAGAGGAGCATTATACTTTAAATTATAAAGTTAGATTTTTTTTTTAAAATTCAGATACAGAACTCAGAGGTTTTTTGGGTCTTAAATTCAAGGGTCTGTGGTCCGTTTCATCAAAGATCGTACGCCTACCGTAGTCGTTCACGTAGCGCAAAGCCATTGTATACAGCGGACTTAACATGCTTAAGTTTGGCCAAAATACGTCTACTCATTGGTAGGCATGAGTTCTTAACTATGAAGATTTTGGGGAGGGGGTACACCCAACCGGGGAGATAGTTGACATACTCTGAATTTTTTCATAAATAATTGCCTTATTTGGGATTCAATTTAATACTGTATCTTAAATTTTGACAATCCTGCATTTATACGCATTTAATTGTATATTTTATTTATGAAGAGGCATTGTATATCCACAACACCATGTACTTTTATTATTCACTAGAAAGAAACCTATTAAAAACGTACTTTTTTTTGGGGGGGGGGTACATTTTCCAACCAATCGTAAAACGAAGTGGGCCTCTTAAAAATATAATGGCCAATTTTTTTTAAAGGCAGGGTACTTTCAATTCCAATTTTTTTTTCGCAATTCCTTGATATAACTATACTAGGGTCAACAAGTAGGGAGGGGGGCAAATATCCCTTCAATGAACATTTCCTTTAGTTGACGTAGTGTTGGGGGGAAAATAGCTGTGATTTTGTTCTGCATTAAAAAGTGGGGGGGGGGGGCACAGACATACTCTTGCCCCCCCCCCCCCACGATCTGAAAGTGGGGGAGGGGGCTAGTGCCCCCGCTGCCCCCTGTGACTACGCCTATGGAGCAAATAGTATGGCATACAAGGTACACTGTACATGTAATGGAAAAATTTGTGATTTTTCATGATGATGCATATTTTGTTTTATTTTAATGACTCTTAATAATTTAGTTGACTAGTCCATTATGTATGCCGAGTTACTTATACAATATTGTAACGAGTTCTCTCTCTCTATTCCAGTATCAAATCCAAGGGGTGACACTGGGGGTGGGGGAGGGAGAGAGGGTGTGTGTGTGTGTGTGTGTGTGTGTGTGTGTGTGAAAAATACATTTACAAAAACATTTCTTTTCTTAGACCTTTACTTTTAGAGTTTAATCAGATGGCATGTTACAAGTCGTTAATATTTTATAATAAGTAGATTTAAGATGCATGTTTTCTACAATGTCCCCCAAAATTCATATGATTTTTCATTTAAGTTCAATTATATGTGACCGTATGTTTATGTTTTTTGCTCATGTGCAATGCAACGGTGTCAAGTACTTAGTCCTGAGACTGAGGATATTGTTTGTACGAAAACGCAAATTAAGCCCGACTAAATATTGGCGTAATCCGTGGACACACTGTTATAACGCACTATGAGAATTTACGCACTTTGAAAAAAAAATCAAAGTGCGTTAAATTTGGGACCAAGCTAACTCACTTTGAAAAATAAATTTTCTTTTCAAAGCCAAAAAAATATTACATGTTATGCTGTTAAAAGAATGTTACCAGAAAAAGAGAAAGGGGGAGGATGGAGAGGCGTTGGTATATATAGAGAATCACTGTCTAGTTTTGAGAGTATGCCAGGGCATCAACAATAGTGGGAAACATGGGATATTTGCATAAAAAGCCCGTTATGCTTTGTTTGTTTGTATTGTTTATGTCCCTGGCATACTCTGGCACATATCTTATATTTCCATTTCATTGTGAAATAAAATTGTAGATTTAGACTTTAAAATTGTAGGCTTAAATTATACGAGGACTTCCATGCCAATTTCAATAGTCCTCGCCCACTGACGTCAAACACATAGGCAGCCGCATGAGATTTACATGCATATTTGGCCTCCTTAGCGTCAGACACAGAGACAAACGAGATTTGCATGCGTTAGCTCCTGACCTATCGACCTGCCTAATTTACATTCCGGCAGAATTATCAAGAAATAAACTCCGAAAACTTTTAAAAAGTTATCACAGAGAAAAAAATTAGAAATGGAAATATAAGATATTATAGTATAAGGATTATTTGTTTCTATACATAACGTCTACAAACCTTGATATTTAAAAATGCAAGATATATTTGGGCGAAATCAGTATATTTTGATAAGAAAATAACTTGGGTTCCCTAAGGTTGAATGTATCCATACTTGTAAATATATACGGTCTACTTAAGGTGTATAAACCAGCATTGCATACATCTCCTTAAGGTATATATTGCATATGTCTCCCTAATGTATATATATTGCATACGTCTCCTTAAAGTATATATTGCATATGTCTCCCTAATGTATATATATTGCATATGTCTCCTTAAGGTATATATTGCATATGTCTACCTAATGTATATATATTGCAAATGTCTCCCTAATGTATATATATTGCATATGTCTCCCTAAGGTATATATATTGCAAATGTCTCCCTAATGTATATATATTGCATATGTCCCCTTAAGGTATACAATATAGTTTTTAAATATTAGGGGGACACCAAATTATATATATCTTTAAAAACTAATGTTTTCTTAATTTTCATTGTGAAAAACTCAAAATTGTTCTTTGTTATATGTAAATTTGCGCTTAAAACATCACAAAGTAAAAGATTAAAAAATATACAAAATGTCCCCTTAAGGCAGAATATTATGTCTGGTACCCCTTATGTAGAAAGCAGATATATATATATATATATATATATATATATATATATATAGTTTGGTGACAAAATTTTAATAAGTGGACAACTGTGAGGAAAATTCATTAAAAAGTATCAAAAAGAAAAATGCTAAATTATATGACTACAATATTAAGTTTTGCACGCTATATGCTTTCATCTGCAAAGGGTTTTTGTTATTTGTATTTTCAAAAATGTTAAAGTAGTATAAAACATGTAAAATGAATCAATAATTGATGTTGATCCACATTATTATATTATTTTTATGATTTTGTATGTAATAACAACCATTTTTGCACGTTCCCTGATTGCTGCAGTTATTCTGACATATGCTAGTTATTTCCCTTGCTACTTCTGGTTTCGCCTGTTGAAGCGTTTGGTTGAGGTTGATGAAGGCTTTACATTGGTCGATGGCGCTTTCTATGTGGAATATTACTAAGGAAGGATCTCCTGTTAACTAGACAAAATATATGGAAAATTCATTAAAAAAAAGTAGTAAAAAGATGTGTCGATGAGATCATATAAAGAAATTTCACAGAAAAAAAGTAGTAAAAAGATGTGTCAGTGAGATCATTTGAATTTTTATTATGATTTAGAAATATACATGTCACAAAGAGAATGTACATGAAAGCAAACGATTTTTTAGTATGCTTGATAAATCAAAGGATTCAACGACTTTCAGTGTTGTTTGACTGAAATCAAACCTCGGAGTGATTATGTGACGATCCAATACACTGAAAAAAAAATTATAATAAGAATTCAAATGATCTCACCGACACATCCAAGATACAATCCTTCAAGGAGTCACTCGAAAAATCTGCGACATTATCTTGACAGGTTTTGGATGCAAAGGACGCTTCGAATGCCGCTTTGCATGTAGTTGTTGCGTTCTCAGTTATATCATAAGCTTGTCGTTTAACTCTCTGCAATAGTACAAAAAACTTGAACAAATAGGAGATAACTCGTGTGAATAAATGATATTGATTTGCTTTTGTGAACAGACTTACGTTTGAAAGAGTAAGTTCAATGGGATCCGGAGAGAAAGATTGCATGTATATTGCATGACGCTTGCGTCTGCTAGTGCTACTGTGAAGAATACATTCATACTCCTTTCCCCGCGTGATATCGCTACAGTCTGTGAATTGTTGATAGCTGCACTCAGTTACACCCTTGTTACATGCACAGAATTTTACTTTTGTCAGCGATAAAGATTTCAATGACCCGAAATCCATGGAAGGAGCAAACAGATCTTCTGTTGAACTAGCTCTGATAAATTATTCGTAGAAAGATTCATATGTCAGGTCAATAAAGTATAAAGATTAATATCAGATATATCGCTTTAACAGTCTAGTCCGACACCGAAATCCAAATTTTATTTCAAATTACAAATATTTTTATTCATTAAATATGCCAGCTGAAACTTTAATAGTCAATCCTAATACAAATATGTAACTAAGTGCCAGTTTGATTATCAGGGTTTTATTTATGTACGAGATTTGTCCGGTAAAATTGTGGACAAGTTTTCAAGAAATAAATAAATCAACATTGATTTCTAAAATTTACACTTCTCTTTTCCAAAATTTTCATCAATATACATGTAGCAAATTTTAAATACATACATGTCAATGTAAACAAAATATGGTATTTTATGTTAACCGTTCAAAATATTAGGGAGAATTTCGAAAATTGGTTTAAATTTTCCAGATGTTGAAACACTAATTAGTGAATTGAAAATGTGATACTTTTTATTTTTCCCCAGTCATTTCTGTTTAGTATTAATTTTTTTCTAAATCATATGCTCTGATGAAATTTTGTTTGTGTGTTTTATGATCATACTCTGTGTATATTTTATTAAAATTCATCTAAGTATAAATACATTATGAGAAATAGAGATTTGCTGAAATAATCATGTTGCATTATTTCTCAATACATATTTTACCAGAGAACGTACGTAATTTATATGGCTTGTATTTTGTGAAAAATGCATACCTTCAGGATATAGAGAATGCATCCGGAGGAGTACGATAGTTGAAACTGTTTGGATTGTCAACTATTCCAGATCTTCTAGTCAAATCATTCTGAATATTCCCATCCAAGAGACCACATAGTCCCCCCGATTTCCCTACGTCAGCAACAGACGGATACACCTGTGTCTGGATAAAGCAGTCTCTGGCCATATTGAGTGTGGCGACATATGTTCCCGTTGGAAGGAATATCTAATTTTATATACACATGAGAAAGTTAATTTAAGGCAAGTAAATTCTGGACATTATCCTAACTATAGGTGTATTTAACGTTTAAAAGGAAAAAAATAAAAAAAATAAGTAAAAACCTCAGAAAGAATTTGAATGACTGTATATTATTATATAAATGCATTTCTTTTATTTGTATATTATATAATTATGGACTCTTTGTAGTGAATATGTAGTATTATGAACTGTTTGCGCTTTTAAAATTATATAGGGAATATAAACTATATAATATATATTTGACAGAAGATAAGAAATGTTCTATAAATTTAAAACATTTTACCTTTTAACTAGTACAGTATACACTCAAATTTTGTTTTTACCTTGTATGATTTGTCTGTCACCCTCACCACCTTATCATCACAGATTGGAAAATTTATGTACTGGTGTCCATTACAGGCATCAAACATAAACACGTCTCTCTCCTAGAGCGAACAGCTACTGCACAGATACATCTAGCATTCGGATTAAAGCATTTGTGGTGCCTCACTTGTACCTTATAATGAAACATAAATCTGGGTTAAATATTCAAGAAATAAAGTCCGCTTTGTGATTTATTGGAGAATAATGTCCGCAGCATTTCTTTGAACTCGGTAATAATCGTGGTAGAATATTAAATACATATACGTGGATCGTACAATATGCCACACGGTTGCATTTAAATTGTAAACAGATACCTGTTGATTATGTTCTTTGTTCTCAAAGAGAATGCTGGTTATTCCAGTGGCACAACCGGTATCTTGGCATTCATAGCCGCTGTGGATCAATAAATAAATTTTAAGAATTTTATTAGGCCTCGTCTGTGTATTCAAAACGGTGAAATTATCATATCACTGCGTACTATCCTCAACTAAATCACATATTTAATATCTCGGTATGTTTTCTTTTTTTAAATCCGCATTCAATATTGAAAAGTAATAGATTTTGCCTTTAAAATTTATGTATTATTTTAAGATCTCCATCCTCTGATGTAAGATTGTAATAGTAAAGACACAAGTCCGAGAGATTTACAGTTTGTTTTCCTTTGATTTTTATTTCAGAATACCAGACTTACTATCCATCAAACGTTCTCATGTGGGGGTCTGCGACAGACTGACATAGCTTTCCTTTCCAGACCGTCAGCGTCTCTACAACGTTTATCTGTAAAAGAATATTATCTCGCAATTGATAAAAAAGAAATAAAAATAAACTGAAAGATGTCATTTTATGTAAATTATATTTAAATTACAATTAACATGAGGTAAAGAAATTAACTAGTATCTCCAAAGTTGCAAGCTTACGAGGGCTGTTCGGAAATTATTGAGACAGTGTGTATATTTTTCTTTATAAAGAACGTCTTTCGGTGAAAATTTGCATATGCGTTTGACAAACATTCAGAAATCATAAAAGCAAGATATAATTTACAAATATTAGATTTTTTTTATATTCAATGGTATTAAAATATGTCAATGGTAGGGGTACCCGTTGCAGTCACAAAAGCAAATATTGAAATATGTATCACCAACGTTCAATCCCTGAGCGGACCCATATTTAGAGCGAGATTAATTCAATTCAGGTATATATTTTTTCAATTTTATTTTAACTTCATGTTCAGCAAGTTTGTAAAAATTCCCATCAGAAATATGAAGATCATTGAAATAATAAAGCGCGGTATAGCAATCAGATTACAACGATAAAATGGATTTTGACGTTAAGGCGGAGCAGCGAGAGACCTAAAATTTTGTGTAGCGCTATGTAAAACTCATTTCTAGATTGAACAACTTGCTAAAACATTAACAATGGAAAAACATGTCGAAGGGGTTTGTTATTTCATTTGTATGGTGTTTTTTTCTAACCTATAATTTCACAAAGTATAATCAAACGCTCTGAACAACCGTCAATTTTTACCGATACGGAATTGAATGTTCACCCTCGTTGCAAAAATCGGCATTGCATGATACTAAATCACTCTGTATATATGACGCATGAAAAATTAACACAAGTGTAGCAACCGAACATTTGTTTAAAGAATCGTTTAAAAATGTAGACAGTTTGATTTTTGTATGGTATGTATGATAACAAAGGAAGGAGAGAAAATGCTTCCTAATAGGTTCACATGCGGATACATCTCCGGCTAACATGACGTTAAAATGACGTACTGATGGTGCTCCGGGTCGATAGACATATGCATTGTACGATATCACCAGAAATTATCTAATTATCATAGAAATTAGAAATTTTGCAAAACTTTTTAATTTGTTCTTCGTTAAAGGTTGACAAATTTTCCTGAATTTATCTCTGTTCTTTATGGAGTAAAAGTAAAAGTCTGACAATAGATTACCACTTTGAATGTCAAAGTTGATAATTAAGGTCTTCCGTCTTCACGGAAGACCTTATAGTGATTCCACTGTTTCTTATTAAGGTCTTCCGTCTTCACGGAAGACCTTATAGTGATTCTACTGTTTCTTATTATTATTATTATTATTTTTTTTTTTTTCCCAAAATTTTGTGCAGGCGATTTCTCGAAAACTATTCGGTGGTTTTCAATGAAGCTTTCAGGAATCATGCGTCATTATATGATCTTTGTTCATCAGAAGGAAAATTTGGAATACTCACCTTTGGTTCCAAGTTATTGACAGTTTTCTGATTTTAAAATGGATTTTTGTCCCCCCTTTTTTACGAAAATGGTCTAAGATATTAACTGGACACTTGTTAGAGATGATAGATGTTGACTTTTAGATATGTGAAATCACCTTTTCGTGTGTCGTCAGTACTTCCGGTCGCTAGCGGAAGCGAATTGAAATATTCCGTATTTTCTAACTTTTTTGTTTTTCAATATTTTTCATTTATTTTTGGAACGTTAATAGAAACCGTTCTTATAATGCTTACTATATTATTTGTTTGAACATTGATAAATCCAAACTCTAGATATTAACATTCAAAAATCTGAAGCGGGTCCAAAATGGCGGCTGTCTCCGTCAACTCCGACATTTCGCAATAGGAGTTTACGGAGGCAGCCGAGCGTTTGCTTGAACGAAAGTAAATAAGGATAAATGAAATGTAAAGGAATACGGGGATTGTCACGATGTAGTTACGTTGCAATTCTGTGTCAAACTAATTTTAAATCCATGGTCGTCTCAAACGTCTTCTATAATTGGTTTCGGCTGGTTCTCAAAGTAGAAAAAGAAAAGACTACATGTGCAAATGAAATACATACCTACTATCATTTGTTTTGCGGAAAAACATATCTTAAATCATAGTTACAAATAATAGTTTTAAGAAACAATATCGAGGTATATATAGTAAGTATTAAACGTATCCACTGTTTTGCTCATGCACACTTGAGTCATATTAAACTAATAGGAAAGACAAACATAAGAAAAAGATTTTTTTGAAGAATTGAGTTTATATTAATATTCTTGTCTCAAAGATATGATTTAATTTATTGAACATAAATGGTATCTGATTCCTTTACCGTCTTAGGGCGACACATGTTTTTCGGCGAAACATTTCAACCTTTTCATGAAGTTTAACTAATCGAGATAGTTCAGTATGGGGATGAACAGGAAATTGAAAAAAGTAAAATATTATAGCAGTTTCATTGACTTAGTGTTACTTATCTATTTACGTCATAGAATTTGTAAATGTGTTACAAACAATTTCTTTACCTTGAAATTTTAGCTATAAAAACGTTCTTTTTTATTTCCATTGAAGATTTCACACCTATTTAATGGGACGTTCCAAAGAAAAGGCGCGAAGATTCACTCGTGGCGTTTGGCGCTATATTTTGAATAGTAACCCGCCTTTCATTATTCTAAGACAGATATACTGTTTCAGAAGTATATACAAGTAGATTTAGAGCTGTGGTCCCAATAGCGTAATAGTAAGCGCTTTGGATTTTCATGCTGGCGACCCGGGTTCAATCCCCTTTGTTTCCATAAAAAGTTTTATCACTTTATCAGCTCGATTTTGCGGAGTGTTTTTTTTTCAGAATCGGACGGAAGACCTCTCGTTGCTCGCAACGAGTTTCTTTTCTAGTTATTCTTATTATTCTTTTTTTTTGACAAAATTTTGTGCAGGGATTTCTCGAAAACTATTCAGCGGTTTTTCATGAAACTTTCACAAAATATGTGTCATTATATGAAGTTGTTACATCCGAAGAGAAATTTGGAAAATTCGCTTCTGGTGCTAAGTTATGGACGATTTCCTGATTTTAAAATGCGATTTTGTCGCCCCTTTTTTCGAAAATGGCTAACAATATGATATGGAGACTTATTGGAGACGATAGTACATGACTTTGTGGTTTGCAGAATTACCTTTTCGTTCGCCGTCAGTACTTCCGGTCGTTACCAGATGCGAATTCAAAAAAATCGTTTTTTCTAACTTTTTTGTTTTCCAATATTTTTCATTTATTTTTGGAATGCTAACAGTAACCCTTCTTATAATGCTTACTATATGATTTGTTTGTTAATTGATAAATCCAAACTCTAAATATAAGCATTTAAAAATCTGAAGCGGGTCCAATATGGCGGCTGTCTCTGTCAACTCCGACATTTCGCAATGGGGGTTTACGGATGCAGCCGAGCGTTTGCTTGAACGAAGGTAACATAAGGATAAATGAAATGTAAAGGAATACTTGGATTGTCACGTCGTATTTACGTTGCAATTCTGTGTCAAACTAAGTTCTTCTTAAACGTCTTCTATAATTGGTTTTGGCTGGTTCTCAAAGTAGAAAAAGAAAAGACTAAATGTGTAAATGAAATTCGATACCTTAATATCTTTGATTTGCACCACGGAAAACATATCTTAAATCATAGTTACAAATAATAGTTTTCAAGAAAGAATATCAATGAATACAGTTAGTATAAAACTTGTGTCATAATACAAAATAAGATAACTATTTTTAAAAGGTCGCTTAATGGGGTTTATATGAAAATTATTGTCTCGAAGATCTGATTC